GCCTGCACCCATTGCAAAATTAAAGGATATAACATTTTCATTCCAAATCATTATTATGGATGGAAAACTACTACTCTTCTCTCTCTGTTCATAAACTAGCAATGCTCATTTACTGTGATGATGATCTTTGCTACAATACACTTATATTAAGCCAAGAGTTTTGCACTTGAACAAGAAGATTGTTGTTATTCTGGGCATGCATTTGTGTAATATGAGAATGAAAACCTGTTATGGGATTGTAATTAGGATACAGTGAAATTACAATCTATAATATGTTAAAACTTTTATAGTTACAAGTGTGTGCATGACACTGTTCCAGAAAGACTTGGGGTTAAAGTTAAAAACAAATCCACACACACACCCCTAAACAAAAATAACTAACCAAAAAAGAAAATCCCAAAAATTGAAACCACAGATAGATAAAAGGGAAAACGTGAGTAAACTTGCTAAAGAGGTAACTGTATACAGCAGTATACTAGAGTGCTGAGGAAAAACCTCTTTTTTCCTTTTTTTTTTTAAATAGGAAGAGAAAAAAGTTTACTTGCTAGCATTTTGGTGAAGTATGCATCAACAGTATTTATTTTCACTGCAGCATCCATAATCCAGGCTGAAACCCAGTCAGCAGAAACACATACCTTCTGCAGTTAAAATCATACATTGTTTTTTATGCCTAAATAAAAAAAGCAAACTCACCAGGGTACAGAAGATGCATTGGCATTGTGCTATTGTTGTCATCTGCTCCACAGGATATTCACCAAGGCAGAGCTTGCAGGACACTAATGGGTCAAGTACCAAGTCCCAGGTAGGCCTATATCTTGCTGTAGTCATTGCAGAGCAGTCTGAAAAACAGCACAAAAGTAAAAATACTCCATCATTTCCTTACATGGATACTCAGTACATTTCTGCCACTGGAAATAGCTAACAGCAGCAGCTGACTGATATTTGGAAAAAAAGCTACAAACGACAATGGCTAATTTGACAGCACCAGCACTTGCTGTAGGCTGTACATCCCCTGCCTGATAGAACATTAATATAGCAAACAGAAGGAAAAAACCTCCACATAATACACTGACAAAATGTGAGAGGAAGCAAGAAATATCCTCAGGTCACAGACTTTTCTCTCATCATTATACAGGCAAAAATCTCATTCCCAATTCTTGACATTTCCATCACTAGTTACAAGCTTTCCTTCACCAACATCCATTACCCATCACTTAAAATACATTCCTTAACCCCCACAACTCCAGGTACCCAGGCAAGACTCACAAGGTCTCTTTCATGAACCAAGCACCTATTATGCCCCTTTTCCAGCCCAATGATACTGCAACTCAGCCAGATATTTTTGTTCCCAAGAGCATGACAGATCAATACAGCTTGCTGAGTTAATTTTAGAAAGAACAGTGAATATTCAGTATATCCTCAGACTTTTAGCCTGCCTTTTTTTTCCAAAGCCTGCTATATGCCAAGAGAACAAATTTATTGCAGAAACAACCAACTTGGGCAAATAAGAACACAAAACAGTGAGTTGTAAGAGGCTGTAATACCTATATATCAGCCTCAAGACAGCAATAGGTTAGGACCATGCAGAGCATCTTTATCCTAGGCTTCAGGGTCCAGATGGAGACTTGTCAAATGACTAACCAGGAAAGAAAAGTTTCACACACAACAAATGTAGGAAAGCTTGTTTACAAGTTACACACATGGTGGGGCGGGAGGACGACGATGACAACAACAAACCAGAACAAAACAAATCCAGAACAAAACACACCCCATGCAGTCCCCAAACATTCAGGGTAGCTTACATAGTATAACCAATCTTAACACCATACTTAAAAGGTCAATGCTGCAGTGACAAAGAAATACTGTAAGTGCGGGAAATTCACATCCCAAGGCTGCAGGGAGGTGCGCATCATCTCACCTCTCTCCTTCCCAAAATTAAGTGGTTCCTTCCCTTCCACATGGTACTCCAACCATGATTACAGGTTTTGTTTCTTTGATTTTTTTTTTATTGGCACTTGCAGGAACTGCTTATATTTAAGTCATTATCTGTGAACTTCAAGATATCCAGAACCGCAACAAGTGACTTATTAGACTAGGTTTAGGCAGATGTTCAAGAAAAAAAATGCTTTTTGCCCCAAGAGAAATCACACGGAGAGTTCAAAGAAGTGTTTGTGAAGAAAGAGTCTTTGATATTCGATATTTGATATTGGGTCCAGTTCTATTCAATAT